AGCACGGTGCTAAATCATTGTTGTTGTTGTTATGTGCCTTCGAGTCAGACACGACACATAGTGACCCGTCCTTGGGTTTCTGAGGCAGTATCTCTGTGGAAGTAAATTGCCCCATCTTCCTTCTGAGGAGCGGCTGGTGGATTTGAACCGCCAGCCTTCTGGTTAGCAGTCAAGTGCCTTAAGCACTGTGCTACCAGAGGGTTAAATCATAGGACTCTATAAAGATTTGTTCTTTTTCTCAATACCCTGGAAAAAATCCACCACAGTTACTATGAATATCAGTTAATTCCTTGCCACTTCTGGTACATTTAGATAAAGTAATAAGGATAGGGTCATTTTTAAATAATTATATCTTTTGAAAACAAAATGTAAATTTTTTTCTTAGTATTATACTTCTGTATTATACTCATTTACTTTGAGTGCCACCATTCTAGTTCATTACTTGTCTCAATGATGAATGACATTTAAAACAGTATAAAGTAATGTTAGTTTTAGTAGACCACTCACTCACTCACTGCCATCAAGTCGGATCCGACTCACAGTGACCCCTCCTTGGGTTTCTGAGGCGGTATCACTACAGAAGTAGATTGCCCAATATTCCTTCCAAGGAGTTGCTGGTGGGTTTGAACTGCCAGCCTTCTGGTTAGCAGTCAAATGCCTTAGGCAGTAGGCTACCAGAGCTCCTAGTTTTAGTAGGTAGTAACAGTTAATAAAGCACTTTACCTGCTGAAACTAGGCAATAAACAGCTATGACAGCAACAAAATACATGATTTTTTTTTTTTTTTCTTTCTAAATGGAAGACTGAACATGACACAAAGTGATAGGCCCTGAATTCAGGGTCAGAATACAAAATTGTAATGATCTTATATTTGCATGTCTCTTTACACCCCTTTTCTTCCCTATTCATCTCTTTTTCTTCCTTTCCCTCTTTTTCCATCTCTCTTTTCTTTTTTTTCTTTCTTAGAGAGGAAAGTCATGAGTAAGATTTGATATGTGTGTGCTTTAATCATTTATTTATTTTGTGCTGGGGATTGGTGAAGTGTATTGCCAATCTGCTGTGTCTTCATACTGTAATACAAAATTGCAATTTCTAAATATAATGAAAATTTTAAAACAGCACAATATTTAGACCTGGAAAAGCCACCCTGAACACAAGAACTAAATATCTTTCATATAATGGCATTTGAAATTAATTCACATCACCATTAAATTTATTTACACATGGCTAGGCTAAGGCACTTGACTACTAACCAGACGGCTGGCGGTTCAAACCCACTAGCCACTCCTCGGAAGGAAGGTTGGGCAATCCTACTTCCGTAGTGATACTGCCTCGGAAACCCAAGGAGGGGTCGCTATGAGTCAGGTCTGACTCGACGGCACATAACAACAACAACAACAACAGCAAAAGATGAAATGATTATAAATCTTTATTAATTTAATTCAGTGATCAATTGCCTATTGAGCAACTATTATCTTCTAGAACTTATGGGTAGTCACTGAGGATACAGTCTTGAAAATGTCACAACTCTGTATCATTCCTATAAAAGAGTGGAAGAATCACTTAAATGGCAATGGTGATACCAGACAGAAGTTGCTAAGATAAATGAGAATAGAAGCCCGTGGGAAAATTTAGGAAGAAAATTTAACTGTGCCTTGAAGATTTAGCCAAGGTATTTTAAAAGTCCTCTATGATATATTTGTGTGTGTGTGTATACACACACACACAACACACACACACATACACATAAAGAGTTCTGGTGTATACCAGAGGTTACTAAAACTTAGTGGGTAGATAAGATCTTTGACTGCCAACTGGAAGGTGAGCAGTTCAAACCCACCAGCTGCTCTCTGCAGAAGGAAGACTGGGCAATGTGCTTCCATAAAGATTTACAGCCTTGGAAACCCAATGGGGATTGCTATGAGTCGGAAATGACTCTATAGCAGTGAGTTTGGTTATATATACATATACACTCACACACACACATATATATATATATACAAGTATATATGTTTGCATGTATATGTATGTATATATGTTATATATGCATCTGTATATGTGTGTGTGTACATAAAGCTATCAGAGCTCCCATATGTGTGTGTGTGTGTGTGTGTTTGTAATTAGGAGTGGGGAAGGGATCTTAGATAGGGGATGTCCACGTTCACAACGTGGCCAGCACAGTAGTTCAGTAAGACTAGGCCTGCGAGTTTAAGGGAGAATGTTACAAGCAGTGGACCTTAAAAGTAACAGCATGTCACTGCTCTTTCTTGGCTCATGTCTTAAATAGTGATTATCTTTATAGTTCCATATTAAGTCCTCTCTGTGCAGATTGCTTATTTCCTAGGCTTCCTCTTCACCCTCATGATTTAAATTAGTATCATTATATTGTTGTAGCCCAAATTTATATCTGAAGCTCTGATATAACCTCTCCTTTCTCAGTATACACACATATACACAAACACACATTTATATTGAGTTCAGAGGGAAATGTATCGGTGTCACCAAATGAGCTGGATGATTTGTGCTTTAGAATGTTCACACTGCCTGAAGAATGGAAAGTGACTTGTAAATACAAGTATCCAGATTTGAAGCTTAGTTGAGATGAGAACTAATAGAGAATGTACTAAACTTAGTGATTGATAGGTAGTATAAATGAGAGTATTCCAGGAACAATATACAGGTTTTTGGCTCGGGCAAGTGGACATAAGAAAGTGCCATTCTTTGAAGTATGGACTACAGAAGTAATGGCTGATTAGTTGAATGGAGAAAGGAGGTAAGGTAACTATAGTTTTGGATTTGTTGAGGCGTCTGTAGGACATTCAAGTAAGTTTGTCAATTCGGAAGTGTATGTGTGTGTGTGTGTGTGTGTACACTCAGGAAGAAGAGGTATACATCAGAGCTGCAAGTAGAGATTTGGGAGATAACAATGTAAAGATATTAATTGAGATCATGAGAGTGAAGAGAATGCCTAGGAAAATTGTAATCTGAACAGAGAGGATATAACATAGAACTATAAGGGTAATCACTATTTAAAAGATAGCAAAGAAAGAGAAATAGATAAAGTACCGATTAATACTCATTTATAAATGAGAGGCAAGGAGAAGAACATTTCTGAAAATAGTATGAAATATAAAATAAGGAAATAGTTTGCTAGGTGATGTGGGGTGTTGTGTGCCAGGGTGAAAAATTATTTTTTCCCCCAGAATCCTAAATGCCCATACTTTAAATCTTTATATAAGCATTACGTCTTTTTTCAAGAATACATGGAAAACTTAACTTTCTCATTTTTTTTTTAACTGCTAAGATACATTCTTTGTCCCTTATCTTATTCTTTCCATTCCATATTCTCTAATGACTTTTTACAGTCTCAAGGTATCTTTACGTCTCACTGTTAAAATGTAGAAATGAAAAGAAAGTAGTTGAAAAATAGCTCTAATAAATTTTTAAAAAATCAAATATAAAGGAATATTATGAATATTTAACTTCACAGAATTTCTGTAATTATTCAGGCTCATGCAATTGTATTTTTATTATGTAAATGTGATCTGAACTTCAGAATATTGTACATTTTGAATATGAATCCTGAAATTATGTGTTTCACCTGTCAAACCAATTAATATGAATCAACAAGGAGAATCATTAGTGATGTACAAGAAAGGGCAATGCCTTGGCAGCAGGATATTTAAATTTTAGTTTCTGACACCAGCTTACTATATTTCTTCATGCATATCCCATAACCTCCTTGAGCTAAAGTTTTGTGATCTGTAAAATGATGATCTCCAATGTCCTGGCAGCTTTTAAAATTCTATAGCTCTTCATTTATCTAAACAAGCAAACATGTAGTTTCCATTCAATAATCAAGGATAAACATTTCATCCCTATAGAGCAATTCATAGAATTGATCTTGAAATATTTGAATAAGTTTTAGTAACCACAATAATGTTCTAAATTACATGAATGTGATTGAGTACAGACATTAAAACAGAACTTTCTATAAATTTGATGTACCTACATGTGGTCAATTTGTCTGGGCCTGGTTTTGAGTGGCTGAGCAGCTGGATATAATATTGCCCATGATGAGATTGGTAATCAACTCCTTGGTACAATCTACTGTGAACAGCTGAGTAGCAGCCTTAGGGGTGTGGTCTGCAACTAGCATATAAGGAGAAGCTTTGGGAATTGTCTGCAGCCTTTTGAGATTCTTGAACCCTCCATGTAGCTGAGTGTTCATTTAGCAGCCTGCCATGTTTTCTGCTGATTTTGGGACTGTCTCTGGACTTGAACTAATGACCTTCTGTGTTCTGTGGTAACATGGGACTTTGCCATTTTATTTGTCACCTTGGGCTTATTAACCCAAGCTGCTAGCAGCTGCCTGAGTGAAGAGACACCGCCAGCTTCAGTGGGCTGGGAGCAAGAGGCAGAGCTGAAACTCAAGGTTGAGGGGCTTTCGCCCAGCCCCTAGAACTTGGCATTTGGAACTAGGACTTCTAGCCTCCAAAACTGTAAGAAAATAAACTCCTGTTTGTTACAACAACCACTTGAGTATTTTCTGTTAGAGAAGCACTAGATAACCAAAACACTGCATTTAAAACTGTTTTAAGAGAATTTATTATTGAGAGCAATGTTCAGTTTATAGAAAAATTGCATATAAAGTACAGAGACTGCCCCCCCCCCTTTCAGTAGATAGCAGATCATAAAGACTTAACTTGTGTAAACATGGTATACATAGGGCAATAAATAGCCATGTTTAGCTAGATACAGAAATGGTGCAATTGCTCAAGTTAAATATTTCCTAAAGATATTTCTCTGAACAAGTCAATTAACTGCCTTGGGAGTCATCTGTTAGAGTTGCAGGTCATTATCCATAGTATCCAGTTATAAGAACAAATCTGGGAAAAAATTATTTGTAAAAGAAAAGGAATATTTCCAATTATGGACTCACTTATTACGAGTGCCTAATCTGTAATAAACGTCTTGGGTAATGCTCTTCACCTTACAAGAATGTTAGCAGTCCCAATGAATGAAGTTCGCTACTTCCTTTGGATTTCCTGTGTTTTCATTTTTGTGTCAGTTCAGCAAGGAACAGAACCCTTTCAGTGTGGCAATGGAATCTCCTTGCCTCCTGACAATGTGTGTGACTTCACGGACCAATGTGCGGACAACAGTGATGAACAGCAATGTAAGTGTCATTGTTCTAATTTCCACAATTTCATTTCCCTTTAGATCTGTCTTAAAACCAGGGGAGCTCTGGTAGCATAGTGCCTAAGGTACTTGACTGCTAACCAGAAGGCTGGTGGTTCAAACCCACTAGCCACTCTTCAGAAGGAAAATTGGGCAATCTACTTCCATAGTGATACTGCCTCGGAAACCCAAGGAGGGGTCTCTATGAGTCGGGTCCAACTCCATGGCAAATAATAACAACACGACATGAGCAGTCCAGTCAGATTCAGCCAGATACCTAGTCTCAAGTGGATTGGAGATTTTCAGAGTGTGAACTATTAATATGTCGCTAGTGCTTATCATAAACTAAGTTTTCAATAAAGACAGGTCCATGTAAAAAATTGCTCTAATTAAAAAATGTCAAATAGCTAAGATTTAAACTAGTTGGACTGTAACAAATTCTTGTTATTTTGTATTTTAAATAGATGTTTGCTGGTTCTAGAGATGTGATAAACAAAAACATAGCTTTTAATCTTATTTTAAACTCACTGCCATCAAGTTGATTCTGACTCACAGCAACCCCCACTGGGTTTCCAAGCTGTGAATCTTTACAGAAATAGATCGTCTAATCATTCTCCCACAGAGCAGCTGGTGGGTTTGAACCACCAACCTTCTGGTTGGCAGCCAAATGTCTCCCCTACTATACCACCAGAGCTCCTTAATGTTGTATTAGTGAAGAAAAATTCAGAAGAAGTTATTGTACTGCAACTTTAAAATGCTTTTGTTTTGTGATGGAAATTAGGAGCTGGAGTTTGAGTTAAGTATGGAAATATTTCATATGTATTTTAGATCTGATGGGTAGCTGTTATTTTCATGTTTAAGACCCTAACACCAAATGAGGTGGTACTCATGGCATGTATAGCATGACCCTGGCTTCTAACACATGATTGCAGGGTAGTGGAAAAAATACAAGCATTAGAGAGTACAGGACCTAGATTTGGATCCAGATGAGCCATTTAACTACTGGTGTGATCTTGAACCTCTCTTTTATTATAAAAGATCATAAAATGAGCCAGACCAACTCTCACAGGCGGGAAAATGCTCCATCATTTCCTGTGAAGAATACTAATAGAAAAGGAAACAGTTCACCAAGAGAAGACATGAGTAAGGACATACAAGTATCTCTAGTCCTTACTGCAGCAGGACACCCTAAGGAATACTGCATTTTACTAGTGGAGGCCAGTGCCCTTATACACTACTGCCTTTCATAAATAAACAACATTTTCATAAAATTAACATAGACTCGTTGGTACAGAGTAACTTTTGATTCAATTAATTACCTGGAGACATTTATTCTATCATATGAGGCATATTGTCAAACATATATATATATATATATATATATATATATATATATTTTTATTCAGATAAAATACTAGTTGGTATTTCTCTAATTCTTCATTTCTTCTGCTCATATAAGATTCTCTGTATTTGATGTTGTTATTGTTTGCTTTCAATTTACATAAGGAGTTCTGGCAGTGCTATGGTTAAGGCATTGGGCTGCTAACCAGAAGTAGGTGGTTCAAACCCACCAGCTGCTCATGGAAGGAAGATGAGGAAATCTACTTCTATAAGGATTTACAGCCTTGGAAACCCAATGGCTGCTATGAGTCAGAATTGACTCTATGGCAGTTTTTTCCTTCCCCATTTACATATTCAGTTGATATTACGTTAAAAAAAAAAAAAAAAAAAAAAAACCTGATTTTTGAAAAGTGTCTTCCCTATAGAATGAAACAGGCTGATTATTTTCCTCCTATAGTTTGAGGTAGCTATCATGCTGTTACCACTTAGTAACCATTAAATACAAAGCTCAACCAAGGACAAGGATTTTATAGTTGTCCAATTTCCTCAGGCTAAATATGGGTAGGCTGCCCCTTGGCTTTGGCCTCTCTGGAACGGCCCTTACTGTTCCTGGGTAAGCAGCAAAGATGAACCACTCAGATGATTTGAAAAGAAGTACAAAGTCCCTTCTATTATTAATCTCTATGTAGCTTCCTTTAGCACTCTTGCTGTGATAACATGAATGGTCCTGCATTAGGGAAAGGTTAATGTGAAAGAAGGAGAAAGCTGCCTACTGGTAAAGGTCTTGGCTGCATGAAAAATTCCAATAACTTGCAGCCTTACAGAAAAGTGAAGGAACAGATTTGTCGAATAAACAGATATCATTTTAAGTGTTAGGCATGGTCACACACCAAAAGGGAGGTCACCTTTTGACTTTTTTGCTTTTTATTTTCATTTCCGAGAACTCTCCATTTTGGTATTGTATTTAAAACGTGTGCAGTAACCTGCAGATAAAATTCAGAATCACTTTAAAGTTTGAGTTTTCTTTGTATGCTGTACTAGTGGAAAAATATTTGAAGGAATAATGACTGCCCAGCTTTCTTTCATACAAAATACCATGCTGAACTTACAGACTAGATTCTTATAACTAACTTTATAATGATGTTAAAATAGACACACTTAAAAAAATTCTCAATCTGCCCCTCTCCATTTTACAGTCGTCATGGTATGACCTTTAAAGAAATGGGTTTGGTAAGTTAACTTTTCTTAACGAAATTGGCATAGTTGAGGTTGAATTTCTGATGCAACTGATTCTAATAAGTTTTTGAGAATGTTCTTAATTTACATTATATACCTCCTTTTAATAATACTTGAATGTGTGCTTTTAGCTGTTCATCATTGTTGTTGTTTATTAAAGATGAGATTTAGAAAAAGTGAATCCTCGAAATGGAATAGATTTCATGTGGACAAAATTTACTTTTTATTCATATTTATTGACATCCTCAACTAGGCCTGGCCCAGGTAATATGTGATGTGGTACTGGTTTGGGTATTTTTTAAAAAAATTATATTCCAAGAGTTGCAGCGTGTGCTTCCCTGTTGATCAACATTGACTGGTCTTTCCATTCTTTTTTTATTTGTTTATTTCTTTCTTTTAATAGCAGAGCCATTACACTAAATACAGAGATGGTCTAGGTTCTCTTCTGCAATTGCTCAAAATTTATTCATTTATAAAGGCTTCACTCTGCTTTATTTTTACCTTATAATAAAGACTGTAGAATTATTTTTGTTGACGAAGGGGAAGACCCTCAATGAGGTGGATTGACACAGTGGCTGCAAGGATGGGCTTAGGTAAAGCAAGGACTGTGAGGCTGGCACAGAACCAGGCAGTGTTTTGTTCTGTTGTACATAGGGTCGCTATGAGTCAGAGACGACTGAACGGCACCTAACACAACAACTACAACAATTATTTTTATTGCTACTATTCAGTGCAAACCAACCAGAAGATTATAAAATATACTGTTAATATAGTGTTGAGATACAACCCCTGCAGCAGATCTCTACCACTGCAGTGTCCGCAGGTATTTAAAATCCCAGAAAACACTCTTAAATGGTTACATATGCTTAACTAAAGTTAGTATAGGATTAGTTGTTGTTATGTGCCCCCGAGTCAGACCCGACTTATAGCGACCCCTCCTTGGGTTTCCGAGACAGTATCACTACAGAAGTAGATTGCCTCATCTTCCTTCCAAGGAATGGCTGGTGGGTTTGAACCGCCAGCCTTCTGGTTAGCAGTCAAGTGCCTTAGGCACTATGCTACCAGAGCTCCTTGGATTAGTAGCTACATACATTTACTTTAACACCAAATTTTTTGTGATTCAAAAGAGAAAAATAAATTATGTTAATCTGACTTCTTTCATCTTTGCCTAAGTGTCATGCTCAAGAATTTTTCCATTTGTTATAGTATTTTTGTAAGGAGATAGGAATCTATTTTTACATTAATGATTTGATGCAAAGTTTCATAAAATTTTGAAGTTTTATAAGATTTCTCTTACAAAGTTTGTTGAATTTAAGAACATGAATGTTTTCTTAAATATGTATTTATATAATCTAAATTTATATATGAAATGTGTGAAAATTATGTTAGAGGTATTTTTTTTTTTTGAAATCAGAAGAGTGATAGTGTTCAACCAGATTATATAAGTACAAACTTATTTCTTCAATAAGATGACATAAAGCCTAAGTGCTTTCAAAAGTTCATTGAAATACTTGAACCAAAAACATTAATAGAGTGAAATATGAAATTTTGTGTATAATGTTTACCCTCCTACTACTACATTATATGGAAAATACTATCTATGTCTAGTCATAAAATTATAACAATAATTAAAAGTTGTAGTCACAATAGCAACAGAATTTTACATCTAAGAATAAATATGTAGACCTATCTGAACAAAATTAGAATAAAGTTACAGATAAGAGACTCATGACAAGATAGTATTTTCTAGTGAGATGCTTCAATACTGTAAATATGTACATTTTTGTCAAATCAATTTAAATATTAATTAAATTCTAATACAAAATCTAAGCAAGATAATATTTAGAATTTGATCATGTAATTTGGAAATTCACCTAGAAAAATGAGTGAGAATAGCTAGGAAAGGGATAGGATAAAATTAATAATGAGAAAGACCTTTAGTAGATTTATAAAACTATCATGAAAGCTTAGAATTAGAAATTTAAATCATTAGAAATATTAAGCATGTATTTAATAAATGATGGTGGTATTCCAAATCAGTTGGCAAAAGCATAGGTAACTAATGACAATTTTAGCTAATACTGATAAAATACTATATGCCCAGCAATATTAAGCTATTTCTACCCAGTATCTCATTTTAACTTCACTAAACAGCCAGTGAGTAGGACCTAATACTGTTCTCATTTTACAGCTTAGGAAAATGAGATTCAGTTTCGGTAAAATAAAAAACCAAATGAATTCACACCCAACTATATAGGGTTCTAGAATCCTTGCTTCTACTCACCACACAATATTGTTATTATTTATTGTATTTATATACAAAATGAAAATGTGGGTATGTAAGTGAAGATTAGGTAATTTCATGATATCAATTTCTGATCTACTCACACACCAAAAAATTCTAAAAGATAAAATATTAAA